ACAGTGACACAGCTACATGCAGAGTCCAAGCATGCCATAAGCTAGAGACCATTCCCAAAGCTGCTGCTTATATATGGGAAGCAGTCCACATACCCGAAGCAGCTACTCAGCTGCTTGTGGTAGATCCCACCATGGAGTTGATTGCCAGTCTCATATTCATGGGGAATAACTACCACCAGCTGCCCAGCCACTCAACCAGGCCCAGCCACTCAACCAGGCCCAGCCAAGTTGACACACAAACGTAATCACCACATGTAGTAAGTAAAATTTTTAAGTAATCATGAAAATAACTAAAAATCTACCAAGTTACCAAAAAGAAAGGGAAAGAGAGGTACAAAATATAAAGTATTTCATATGTAGCATAACATAGTAAACATAGAAAGCATGGGAAAAGATTTAAAAGCAAAAATAAAACTAAAGACCAAATATATTTCAAATATCAATATAAATGGGATAAAATCCACCTATTAAAAGAAAAAGATACTCACATTGGGGAAAAAAATAACTTTAACATTAAATCCTATATATTTCCTTTAAAATCTAATATACCAAAACCAAAGAAACGAAACTCACTGCCATTGAGTCAATTCCAACTCATAGCGACCCCCTTTGGGTTTCCGAGGCAGTAAATCTTTATGCCCAGTCTTCCTTCCACAGATTGGCTGGCGGGTTTTAACCTTCAACTTTCTGGTTAGCAGTCAAATGCCTTAGGCACTGCGCCACCAGAGCTCCCACTTTAGGATGAAGTTAGCAGAAATTAAGAACATCTGACCTCAGTAGGGTTCTCACCCACACTAAGATGTCGTGGGCATCTCTGGCAATTAGTGATTTCAAATGTCCTCTACCCTGGATTCAGATAATGCCCACTCCCAGGAGGCATATCTTTGAAGAATCCTTGCATCTTTGTGGCCATTTTGCTGATGGGAGTGGACTCATCTCTCATGTACATTGGCATGCCAATCATTTAAGAACTGGTTTGCAGAGTACTTTCATAGCTCATATCTCCTTCTGATAGATATTAAATTTAAATGAATGAATACATGTTAAAAACCCACATCATCTATTTCTAGTGTTTTCTTTTTCCAAACATACACATATATTATAGTCCTGAATTTGCTTTTACACACTACCCAGTTGTTGTTGCGTAGCTCCCTGTGTGTCAGACTACAGCTGCACTCCAGAGGGTTTTCAGTGGCTGGTTTTTCAGAAGTAGATTCCTAGGCCTTTCTCCCTTGACAACCCTTGGTGGATTTGAACCTCCAACCTTACGGTTAGCAGCCAAGCATGTTAATCATTTGTACCACCCATCTGTATTAAGTCGAGAATTGCTGATGTACAGAATGAATCCCTTTCCAGGGAAACCAATGGATAGTCAGATTCCCCAGGGGTTTTTGCCAGAATTATGAGACAAGATTCAGTAATATAAGATGTAGGTTTGTTTTGGGAGCTCTGGTGGTGTAGTGCCTAAGGCATTTGACTGCTAACCAGAAGGCTGGCGGTTCAAACCCACCAGCCACTCCTCAGACGGAAGGTTAGGCAATCTACTTCCGTAGAGATACCGCCTTGGAAACCCAAGGAGGGATCACTATGAGACGGGACCGACTCAACTGCAGTGAATTTTTTTTTTTTTTGAGGCTTATTTCAGGCATCACTGGACAATGATTCAGCCCTCTGAGCTTTATAAGATGTTTGCATTCAGCAGGTATCAGGAGTAAGATCAAAGAAGGCTACCCTAGTGCGTTCTAACAAGAGCCCATTCTTAGCCCAGAGAGAGGACATTAAGTCTAGGAGACTAGAATCCAAGTGACAGGCCAGGATGCCCCTGCCCAGCAGCACCCCCAGGAAATGGTGGTGTAACCTGTGTGCTAAGCAGTAGCTAAGCCATCGATATAGTCTCAGTTCTCTCTTCCAAGCAAACAGGGTTCATTCAAAGGACCAGAAAGCAGATGGGTGACATCAACATTCAGTACGAATGCTGTCTTAATCTAGTGCTGCTTGCTATAACAGAGATACTACAAGTAGATGGCTTGTGGCTTTAACAAAGAGAAATTTATTCTTTCCCAGTTGAGGAGGCTGGACGTCCAAATTCAGGGCACCAGTTCTGGGGGAAGGCTTTCTCTCGCTGCCAACTCTGAGAAAAGGTCTTGTCATCAGTCTTCCCCTGGGTCTAGGATTTTCTCAGCACAGGGACACCAGGTTCAGAGTATGTGTTTCACTCCAGCCTCTTCTTTCTTGGTGGTAGGAAGGTTCACTTCTCTCTGCTTTTATCTCTTGAAAGTTGGTGAAGAGTGGTGACTCGAGATACACCCCACCCTAATCTGACCTCATTAACATAACAAACTGTGTGATCCACATTAACATGACATAGTCCTGCCTCATTAACATCATGTAGCTCACTCCCACCAAACCCACTGCCCTCTAGTCAGATCCTGCTCACAGTGACCCCTCCTTGGGTTTCCAACGCAATATCACTGCGGAAGTAGATGACCATAAATATAGGCATAAAAGCTAGGATGTACAACACATCACAAAATGGAGGATAATGAGATCACAGAGTAGGAGGACAACCATACAGTGTTACGAATCATGGCCTTGTCAAGTTGACACATATTTTGGGAGGAGACATTTCAGTCCATGACGAAAACCTTGCCTCAAATAGATTTGAACCTCCCTGTACCAAGTATGAATTCCTGAGGTTTAATGAGTGCTGAAAAGGTCCCAGACACTATCCTAAGCCCTTTTACTTGAGTTATTATTACAGATGAGGAGATTTTGAGGCACAGAAAGATGAACTATCTTGCCCAAGCTCGTAGAGCTGCTGATAGAACTAGGATTCAAGGCAGTCCAGACTCTAGAGCCTTCACTCACAGTCTGTTTGGTGTGTGCCTCTCATGTCTCATCATCACATTACATAGTCAAAAATGAAATCAAAAACTTTGAAAAAGAAACCTAGGTTCCTTCATGGCACAGTTTGTACTCGATTACAAACCTAAAGGTTAGTGGTTTGAACCCACTCAGAGTGCTGGGGAAGGCCTGCCAATCTTTTTCCAGAAAGATTACAGCCAAGAAAACTCTGTGGAACAGTTCTACTTTGCAACATATGGCATCACCAAGAGTTGGAATTGACTTGATGGCAACAGGTTTGGTTTGGTTCACCCTTCGTGAGAGACTATGGAGACTCATTGCTGTCCCATTTTCCTCCCTGTAGCTACATCAGCAAGGTAGATGTCCTAAATATTCTGGTTGCTGCTGCCTATCGCCATGTACCATCTCTGGATCAGATCTTGGAGCCAGCTGCGGTAACCAGGCTACGGAACCAGCTTTTGGAAGCTGAGTACTACCAACTGGGCGTTGAGGTGAGCAAAGACAAAGCTTACCTCTGCCCCACTGTATTGAGTTGCCACTGCCTAGCCTTGTAGATGGGTGTTACCAGCTCTCAGTTGTCCTTGGCTGGGCCCAAACATTTTACCTGTGTGGGAGTGATGGCAGGTGGGAGGCTGAGGAACTGTTGGCAGCATGGGACAGAGTATGTCTTTGGGAGCTCTCAGGCCCCGTGTAGATATCTCTCACTAAGAAAGAGCAATTTTTCCTCCAGGTTTCCACAAAAACTGGGCTTGATGCCACTGGAGCGTGGCATGCTTGGGGCATGGCCTGCCTCAAAGCTGGGAACCTCACGGCTGCACGGGAGAAGTTCAGCCGCTGTCTGAAGCCCCCTTTTGACCTCAATCAGCTGAGTCATGGCTCAACGCTGGTACAGGATGTGGTTGAATACCTGGAGTCCACAGCGAGGCCCCTCATGTCCTTGGTAAGAGCACAACAGGCAGAGGGCCCGCTCCGGGAGGGGCTGTGACCAGGCATAGTGTGCCCTGGGGAAAGGATTAGCTTAAATTCAGCTGACCTGCTCAGACCTGGTTCAGAGCCTGCCACCTTACTGTTTTTGTTTTTTTTTCCTTAAAAAAAAAACTGACTGCCATGGAGTTGGATCCGACTCATAGCAATCCCTTCTTGGGTTTCTGAGGTGGTATCACAACGGAAGTAGATTGCCCCATCTTCCTTCCGAGGAGTGGCTGGTGGGTTTGAACAGCCAGCCTTCTGGTTAGCAGTCAAATGCCTTAGGTACTACGCCACCAGAGCTCCTATATATTATCTGTTAGATATACAGTGAAATCTGTGAGAACCGAAACTCAGTGGGACTGCCTCCTTTTTCAGAGTCTTGTGAGTTTCCCACCTTTGACAAGGTGCCGTTTACCCTTCTTCTGTTGTTTATTTCAGTGGAAAATGCTTGAGTTTTCCTTCTTTGACAAGTTTCTGCCTTACTCAGGTTCCAGCTTTTACAGGTTTTACTGTAGTTAGATAAGTAACTCTGTATGATCAGGTAGATAATACATGGTCAAGTTTTTTGCTTAAATAAGAAACCACAGAAAGTTATATTTAATGAAAGATAAAAATTATTTGTAATCCTTTAAAAGAAAAGAAACCATTCCTGTTGACTCAGTTCTCCTCATGGCAATCCCATGTGTTGCGGAGTATAACTGCTCCACAGGGTGTACTTGGCAGTAATCTGTACAGAAGCAGATTGCCAGGCCTTCCTTTCATGGTGCCACTGGGTAGGTTTGAACCACCAAACTTTAGGTTAATAGTTGAGCTCAAACCATTTGTGCCACCCAAGTACCTTAATCCCATACCCAGACTCAATTAGTATTCAGGTTTTGGTGAGTTTGCTCCATTTTGTTTTTGAATGAAATTGGAGTTATATACAGCATTACAGTATACAGAATTTTGTATCCTGCCTGAGCATGTTTTCACGTGGTTAAGTATTCCTTGTACTACTGATAATACTTATTGAGCTTCGTTTTTCCCATGCACCCTCTCCTTTTCTGTCAGCAAGATGATGATTACTTTGCTACCTTGAGGGAGCTGGAAGCTGCTCTTCGGACCCAGAGTCTCTCCCTGGAGGTGATTCCTGAGGGGAAGATCATGCACAACACCTACTACCAAGAATGCCTCTTCTACCTGCATAACTATAGCACCAACCTGGCCATCATCAGCTTCTACATGAGGCACAGCTGCCTGCGGGAAGCCCTGCTACACCTCCAAAACAAGGTGGGACACTCAGACACAGCTCTCAAAGGACAGTGCCCGCCTTACATACCTAGCTCGAATCACTCACCTTTAAGGGGAGGGAGGTGCACTAAGAAAACATGGGACTTCGGGATCATCTCTGGTGGAATCAGGTCAAAATAGAGCACTCTCATGACACAGTCATCATCCAGTAGGTGTGCAACAAGTCTTTACCTGGATCCCAAATCATCTTTCTGACTGGCAATGAGAAATTGCACTCCTTCCTCCAAAGCAGAGTCAAATAGTAGTTAAAAGCACAGACACTTGAAGACACTAGGTTTGAGTCTTTTGTGACTTTGGGCAAATTATTTAACCTCTCTTGACATCAGTTGCCTTATCTGTAAAATAAATATAATCATAGCACTTAATGTATAGCATTGTAGTGATCATGATAGGGTTATATGTATGATATCATGCTTGGTAAACTAGAGGGTCAGTGAGAAAGGAGAAGACCTTCAACAAGATGGATTGATACAGTAGCTACAACAATGGGCTCAAGCACAGCAAGCGTTGTGAGGATGGAGCAGAACCAAGCAGTGTGTTGTTTTGTTGTACATAGTGTTGCTGTGAGTCAGAGCTGACTCAATGGCACCTGACAACAGCATAGTGAGGGTTGTTGTTGTTGTTGTTATTTGCCATCTAGTCGGATCTGACTCATAGTCACCCCTCCTTGGGTTTCTGAGGCAGTATCACTACAGAAATAGATGCCCAACCTTCCTTCCGAGGAGTGGCTGGTGGCTTTGAACCGGCATCCTTCTGGTTAGCAGTCAAGTGCCTTAGGCACTACGCTACCAGAGCTCCTTAGTGAGGGTTAGATGAGTTAATATTTGTTAACTGCTTACAACAGCACCTGTCTCATAGAAAACTTTCCATATGTATTAGCTATTAGGACTTTTTGGAGTATATCAGTGCCGACAGTAATTTTTTTAAGTAAATATTCCTATTTTTATTTATAAACACCATCATATTGAACATTCACTATAATGTCCTAGGCATATCACTATATGCTTGGTGATCTTTATAAAAGCAAAGTTTTAAATAACATGTGACCAACAGGCAATAACTACTCAAGGTGTACTGTGGTTTGTAGTTTCCTTGTGAATTTCATTCACTTTGTGTGCTAAGGAATTCTTGAACTGGAAACCATAGTGGAGAGATCAGGAGAGAATTAGTCCATCAAAGAAGTCATCATAAAAAATGTGCTAGCAACAAAGCTAGTGGAGTGAGATAGCGGTCGGAGCAGAGAGTTGACGGGATGAGGGAAAGGAAGACCGTGAAAATGGTGTGGGGGAGGCATCTGACCTCCGCTGGGGGAGGCATCTGACCTCCGCTAACTTAACAAATGGAGATAAGGACCAAGATCAGCAGCCCAAGGCTGACTCCTGTGAGGCAGAGGACAGATGTGCCTCTACCCTTTAACCTTTTACCAGCTCCAGCACCAACCATCTCTCCTGTGGAAATCTCCACTTCTCTACTGGGTTCAATAACCTATTGCAATGGTCACATAGAATTCACAGACAATAGGCACAATCATGGGGTTTATTAGAGAAGTAACAGGTTACAAAAATGACTCAAGATACAGTTCTTCAGTCAGGGCAGCCGCTTCTCAGCTGTGCCCACGGGCACACCTCTCTCTGGCCCTCAACCTCTCAGCCCCGCAGCCCCAATCTGCTCTGGCAAGTGTTACAAAGCTCTTTCAGGTCTGCCAATAAATGCCTAGAGGCACCCTACTTTGCCAGCAAGCCTTCTGCCCGAAGGCACTCAGCTCTCTTGCTCTGGCTCAGTGACTGCTCTGTCATGTACTGGTCTCTCGGTTCTGCTGAACCTGCTGCCTCGCAGTCTGGTCTCACAGCTCTCTGTCTCCTAGGTTGAGGAGGTTCCATGCAGGGATATTGGTCCAAAGGATGCACTCCACTCCTGGCTCTTCCTTCTTGATGGTAGTGAGATTCCTCTTTCCGCCTCTGGGATGGCTCATTTTAAGCCTAGTGGGATGATAAAACTAACCAATCCCCATGTTAGGATTTCATATACCTTATTTGCATGGTCCCACCCCCAAAGAGTACCACATACCTTATTTACATTATTAGCTAGCTATCTAATCCCTTTGGTGGGCCACGAGCACCTTACGTTCACAGTCCTACCCAGTCATTTTGTGGGAATTAAAAAGACAATGGCTAGAAGGACCATATTAAGTCATTCACTGTACTGCAAAGAGTGTGGTGTCTAAAGAGTATTAGGACCCAGGGACAGAGGCAAGAAGAGGATGCTTCATCCTTGTCCTAGTTCTGTTTGCTTCCCTCCATACCTGTTGACTCAGCTGCTGGTCCACTCAAAATTGTTATCACAGGGCCAGGAAGCACCCACGGCACAGGTCCCTTATCAGGGCTCCAAAAATCTGGCAAAAGGAGAGCAGGGTGTACTGTTTTTGGAGTGGGGTGGGGTGGGGGACTCGTTTCTCCTCACATCTTCTGCCCTCTTTTCCTGGAGGCCAAGGTATCACTGAAGTGCTTTTGGGAGCCATTGTTGAGCAAAGCTAAGACCCTGTTTCACGGTGACTCTTTGACATTCCATTTTTTATCAGAATGTTCCATGATAGCTTTCTGATAAATTTTGTGCCAAATTTTATATGAAATTAAAAGAGCTCCAAGGTATACTTTCAGTTTGCAGTCCTAAATCAAAACGGCATCCAATGGAAGTTTACCAATAGACCTATCTTTTGAGATTGCTGAGCAGTTCATCCAGTCATGATAACCATCACCTCTACAGGGCAACACAAGGGAAATGTTTTTACTACTGCCTTAGCTACTGTGTATCAACTGGTCACCTAGCCTGAAGAATAATGTGTAGTTGTTGTTGTTATATGCCATTGAGTCAGACCCGACTCACAGCAACCCCTTCTTGGGTTTCTGAGGTGGTATCACTACGGAAGTAGATTGCCCAACCTTCCTTCTGAGGAGTGGCTGGTGGGTTTGAACCGCTATCCTTCCAGTTAGCAGTCAAATGCCTTAGGCACTATGCTACCATGAAGTTGAGTAATGTTGTTGTTATTGTTATGTGCCGTCAAGTCGGCCCCGACTCATAGCGACCCCTCCTTGGGTTTCCAAGGCAGTATCACTACGGAAGTAGGATTGCCCAACCTTAATAAGAATACTAAAGAAGAGGGGGTGGTTTCTACAGTTTTGGGTAGGATGCCAGAAGAGGTGATGTTTGAGTAAAGACCTGAAGGAGGTGAGACAGTAAGCCATGCAGACAAGCCAGGTGGAGGGAGTAATTAGTACAGAAGCCAGGGTGACTAGAACAAAGCTAAGGAGAAAGTCACAGCAGATAATGTCAGAAAGGTAGCAGAGTTGCTGACTTTTTTTTTTCTTTTCCACAGTTCCCAAATGAGTTTTGAGGTAAAGCTGCTTCTCCCAAGCACAAATTACAAATGGAAACCACCCAGTCTGTCCCCCCTCATGATGACCACCATAGTCCAGAGAGTTAAGCTGCTTATTTAATTATCTTAGTATAAGCTGACTACAGAACTGGCCCTGTTTTCCATTTGTCTGAGCTAGGAAAGAAGCTTCCTGTTTTATCTCCTGTAATCACAATTACCCTTGGACCAAAATACTTTACCTTTATTCTCAGGCAGGTAGGAGCAGCAGAAAAAGCACTGCAAAAATTATAACCAAATGTCTAGAGCATGGAAGCTGTTCTGTTTATAACCTTATCTCATGTCCTTTCCGCCACTTTACCTCCCAGGTAAAGTGCCACATTGCCCCCAGGATAAGCTTTCCAAACGCAAATGTTGCTGTTGTTAGCTGCCTTCCAATTGGCCCCTGACTCATAGCGACCCTATTCACAATAGAATAAAACTCTTGCCAGGTCCTGCACTCTCCTCCTGATAGATAATGGATGGGACTGTTGTGATCCATAGGGTTTTCTTTTTTAAAAAGAAAAATCTTTATTATGATTGGCTGAAAGCTTACAGAACAAATTCATCTTCCATACAGCAGTTCATTCACATTTTGTTTCATGCATAAAATGAACTTCCGCACAATGTAATAGCTCTCTTCCCACTTCCTCCCTCTAGTTACCTCTTCCCTGTGTTCTTCTTTCCTATGCATTCCTGCCCCCTGAGCTGTCTCCCCGTGCAAATACTGCCCTTCTGTTCTCCTGTGATTGATCATTCTAAAGAGTGTATCTACCTGATGTAAATGTTCACCCTATATGCCTGCCTGTTGTTTGACTAGGAGCCATGGGAGTGAGTTCAATTCCAGACTAGAAGGGTAACTAGGGGCATAGTCTCAAGGGTCTTACCAAGCTCTACCAGACCAGTAAACCTGGTCTTTTTTATGATTTTGAGTTTTGTTCTACATTATTCTCACACTGTATCCAGGATCTCCTGTACTGATCCCTTTCCGAGTGATTGACATTGGTAGCTGGGCACCATCTAGTTCTTCTGGTATCATGGTCATTTAAGCTGAGGTTCACATGGTCCACCAGTCCCTTGGACTAATAGTTTCCATGAGTCTTTGGTTTTCTTCATTTTTCTTTGCTTTGTATGAGCAAAGACCCATTGTTGCATCTAGATGGCCACTTGCAAGCTTTTAAGACCCCAATTGCTACTCATCAACATAGCATGTAGAACAATGTTTTTTTTTTCTTTTTTAAAAATTTTATTGTGATTTGGGTGAAAGGTTACAGAGCAAATACATTTTCTATACAACAGTTCCTACACACTTTATCTCATGACATCAACTGCAATTCCCCACGATGTAACAGCTCTCTTCTCACTTCCTCCCTGTGTGCTTCCCTCCCATGCACTCCTACTCCCTGAGCTGTCTCCCTGGGCAAACACTGCCCCTCTGTCCTCCCACGATTGATCAGTCCAAGTAGTGTACCTGATGTAAATGAGCATTCTAATATAAGTTTTCTGTGAAAATATATTTTCATTTCTCTTCGGGTAGAATTGCTGGGTCACAGGGGAGGTGTATGTTGAGCCTTAACTGCCGAATAATTTGCCAAGATTATTATAACATTTCTAACTTCCACAAGCAATGAGAGTAGCAGTTGTTTGACAACCTATTCAATATTTGATATTGTCAGTCTTTTCAATTTTACTCATCCTAGTATGTGGGAGCTCTGGTAGCATAGTGCCCAAGGCACTTGACAGTTAACCAGAAGGCTGGCGTTTCAAACCCACCAGCCACTCCTCAAAAGGAAGGTTGGGCAATCTACCTCCATAGTGATACCTCCTCAGAAACCCAAGGAGGGGTGGCTATGAGTCAGGTCTGACTTGACAACACATAACAACAACAACAATGACTAATGATGCTGAACTTCTTCTCATGTGCTTATTGGTCATTCATGTATCTTCTTTTATGATGTGTCTCTTTAAGTCTTTTGCCATTTTTAATAGGTTGTCCATCTTTTTATTATCAGTAAGCAGGGGTTCCTTATATATTCTCTGAACAAGTCCTTTATGTTTATCATGTATTGCAAATGTTTCTTTCAAATATTTTTATTTTCTTAATGGTATCTCAATGGTGCAATAGTTGTAAATTTTAATTAAATTAGACCGTCAATGTCTTTTCTTTTATGTTAGTGCTTTTTTTTTTTTTTTTTTTAATTGTGATTTGGGTGAAGATTTACAGAGCAAATTCATTTTCCATACAGCAGTTTGCATGCACTTTGTCTCATGACATTGACCACAGTTTACCACAATGCAACAGCTCCCCTCCCACTTCCTCCCCATAGTTACCTCTTCCCAGTGTCCATCCCTCCATGCACTCCTGCCCCCTGAGCTGTCTCCCTGTGCATAAGCAGCCCTTCTTTCTCCCATGATTGTGCTCTCCAAGGAGTGTATCTACCTGAGGTAAATGTTCAAGTTATATGCCTGTCTTTTGTTTGGCTGGAAACCACGGGTGTGGGTTCAATTCCGGACCTGAAGGGCAGCTAGGGGCCATATAGAACAATGTTTTTGTGTAGTATGTTATGCCAATTGAGCTTGATGTCCTTTGCAACCATGGTCCCGAGCCCACAGGTTCAATAGCTCACTCCAACTGTGCCTAAGAAGTTATCATAACTTCCCCCCCCCATTAGTTCTAGTTATGTGGACATTCTTACAGCACATACAAATATGTATGTACAGATATCATCGGCCAACCTTATATACGGTCATGGGTATATTCCTTTTTTGTCTAGACTTAGTTGATAATTCAGCCTTAGAGCTTTCATTGGCTGGTTTTCAAAAGTAGATTGCCAGGCCTTCCTTCTTAATCCATCTTAGTCTAGAAATTCCATTAAAAGCTGTTCAGCATCATAGCGACACATGTTCAGCATCACAGCGACACATAAGCCTCCGCTGACAGACAGGTAGTAGTTCTGTATGAGATTTGACTGGAACGCAAACCCAGATCTCCTGCATGGAAGACTAGAACTCCACCACCGAACCACTGATACCTCATTATTTATTAAATAGCCAGACACTATTCTGGGGACTAGGGATACAGCAGTGAAAAAAAACAGATAAAAGCATCTGCCTTCATAGCACTTACATTAAAGTAGGGAGAGAGACAGTAAATGGTAAATAAAATATACAGTGTTGTTTAAGAGTGATAAGAAAACTAAAGCAGGGGAAGTGGTTTGTGCAGTTTGGGGTAGGATGCCCAGAAAAGGTGATATCTGAGTAAACACTAGAAGGAGGTGAGGGAGTAAGCCATGCGGATGGGGGTTGGGGTAGGCCAAGTGGAGGGCGGGTGTAGCAAGTGCAAAGATCAGGGTGGCTGGAGCAGAGTGAGCTGGGGAAAGAGTAGTAGCAATTAAGATAAGGAACGTAATGGGCCATGTCACACAAGGCCTTGTAGACTTGTGAGGACTTGGACTTTTGCACTAAATGAAAAGGGAAACCACTGGAAGATTTTGAGCAGAGAGTATCATATTCTGATTTATATTCTAATGCATAACTCAGGTTGATTTTTGGCATTAGACAAAAGGAAGACAGGTGGGAGATGGTAGGCCAGGGAGGAAAACTGCTGTCATGATCCAGACAAAACATGCCTTGGGTCAAGATGACAGCAGTAGAGTTGGTGAAAAGTGGTCAGATTCTAGATGAATTTTGATGGTAGGGCCAACAGAATTTGCCAATGAATTTGACATTGGGGTAAGAGGAAAAGGAAGACTCTGAGGTTTTTGACCTGAACAATTAGAAGAATGGGGTTGCCATCTACTTCAGAAAAAGCAGGTTTGCAGGAAACAATCAATTTTGAATGTGTTAAACTTATTAGATAGACAAGAGGAAATGTTGAGGAGACAGTTGGAAATAAATTGAATATATTCTTCAAGAGTTCAGGAGGAAGGAACAGGCTGGAGATAACTGATTTGAGTACCATCAACAAATAGACAGTATTCAGTGACACTAAATTTAATCACTAAGGCAGTGAATATTGATAGAAAAGAGAACAGGGTCCTCCTAAGCCTTGGGGAGATTGGAAAGAATCAGCAAGGAGATTGAGAAGGAGCCAGAGAAGTAGAAAGAAAACCTGGTATCCTGGAAGTCAAATAAAGAAAGATTTTCAAGGAGGAAGCCATCAGCTGTATTAAAAGCTATTCATAGGTCAGAGGGAACAAGGACAAAGAATTAACTGTTGGATTTAACCATGTAGAGGTCATTGGTGACCTGAGGGCAGTTTCAGTGGAGTTGTGAGTGCAAAAGCTAGATTAGAGTGGGCTCAAGAGGAAATCACAGCAGAGAATTTGGAACAGTAAGTGTAGATAACTCTGTCAGGAGCTTTTCTCAGAAGGGAAGGAAAGAAGCAGAGCAGGTGCCACAGGGGGATTCTCAAAAGTATCTGGGACACACAAAAGGTTCAGAAGCACTGCTTTGGGCAAGATGCAGAAGGGCTGAATGGAGGGAAATTCAGAGTGGGTCCCAGACATGAGCGGCTCACGACTTCTGACTTCTTACCTCACCCTAATCTAGGAGAGTCCTCCAGACGTCTTCATAGAAGGCATTTTCCAGCCAAGCTATAAGAGTGGGAAGCTGCATGTTTTGGAAAACTTACTAGAATCCATTGATCCATCCTTGGAAAGCTGGGGAAAGTACTTGATTGCTGCCTGCCAACATTTACAAAAGAAGAACTACTTCCACATTCTGTATGAACTGCAGCAGTTCATGAAGGTAATAGCATCCCCATCCTGCCTCCTGCTCTGTCACAGGCACCCTGCCTGGCAGGAGAGGCTGTGCAAGATAAAGGAACAAGACAGCTATTTGATCCTTGGCCTTGCTCTTTGGCAGACCCTAGAGTAAATCTGTGTTGCTCTCTAGCGTTTTTAAATAATACCTAAGATTTCCAACCTAAAGAGGTAAACTTTCATCTTGTCAGTAGTGGTGTTCTTCAGAATCCAAGAAATGTAAACCTGAAAATGAGGTGTGTGATAGTTTGAAGGTTAGCAGGAGTCATGAATGAAAAATTCATGAAGAACAGTGGAAAACTAAGTGAACATGTCTGAAGGGAGCGGGAACAAGTTTCTCTCAATCTTTCTAAGGGTTGCCAATACTAGGTCACAGAGAAATTGAATTATTCAATGCCAAAGCAAGAGTGAAGAGAAGAAGTTGAATGGGCAATCAGGAATATCCTTTTTTTTTACAATCTCTTAAGTGGTAGAATAATGTCCTGTCTAAGAGCTCAGCCAGTTGGCTTCCCGTAGGATCTCTTGGGTCTTGGAGTGGCTGATCCAGAATTGAGAGCAGTTCATTTGGTGATGGGAGTGGGTGCTGGCCACAGACTTCATAGGTGGGAGTCAGTTCAGGATTCCCATCATACTCTATCTGCAAGAGCCCTGATCACCTTTGACCTGAACATTTATTTCCCTTTCTAGGACCAAGTCCGGGCCGCCATGACCTGTATTCGGTTCTTCAGTCACAAAGCAAGTACTTACACAGAACTAGGAGAGAAGCTCTCGTGGCTGCTTAAGGCCAAGGACCACCTGAAGATCTACCTCCAAGAAACGTCTCGCAGCTCTGGAAGAAAGAAAACCACCCTATTCCGAAAGAAGATGACTGCAGCTGACGTATCAAGGTATCTGAAGGTTCAAGAGTAATCAAGATGGGCCAGAAAGGACTGGGGTTGAGTGTTTATTGGTGATGAAGCTGTTCTTGCCTAATCCCAGAACCCTTGAGAAAAACATCTAAAAGGAATTGTACCTGGATGGTGGGGTCTAGTACAAGCCTGGAAGGGCTGGAGAAGTGCTTTTGCAATTGCATAATCGGAGTAAACAGCAAACTCCTTTCAAAAGGCAAATAAAAGGTTCCTGAGGGATCTGGCCCCAACCTCCTCCATCTTTGTCTCATGCTACTCTTTGTCCTTGCTAAGCTTCCAGTCACACTGGCCTTATGAGGGTTCTTTAACACACCAAGTCCTTCCTAGTGTCAGCTTTTGTGTCTCCTGATCCCTCTGCTTAGAACACACCATCTAAAGTAAGTGCCCCACCACTACTGTTCGTTGTCCTCATAGATATTTCATGTGTTTATTCTCTGTTTTAAACTATCTACTCTGTAAGAGCAGAGGACATGTCTCTTGATCTCTGTTGTTTTGTTACCAGCTAGCATAGTGCCTGGCACATAGGCGCGCAGCCGATCCTTATTGACCGACTGACTAGACCTTGTCCAGCTGCCCGGTGTACCTTAACTATTGTGAATCTGTACAAGGCACTGGTAGCTGTTGTTAGTTGCTGATGAGTCGGCTCTGACTGATAGCAACCTGCGTAAAACAGAATGAAATATTGTCCTGTCTTGTACCATCTTTATGATCATTGGTATGAGTCCATTGCTTTGCTGTTGTGTCAATCCATCTCATTGATGGTTTCCTTCATTTTCATTGGCCCTGTACTTTACTTTCAAGTGTGATGATGACCTTTTCTAGCAATTGATCTTTCCTGATGACCTGTCCAAGGCACTGGACCACCTGTTCTTGTCTTTTTATAACTGCTTAGAGGGTATTTTTGATCCCCTTTCCCCCATATCATTTCCTTTGCCTTTTCTCTTGCTATTTTATTATGACTTTGCGGTCACCCAGCCCTAGTCACAGCATTCCTGAGGTCCCTCATGAGACTAGACCTGTCATGAGGTGTACCTGTCACCATAGGCACATGAATACACTCCAGCTGCAGATGGAAGTCACCAGGTTCTTACATCGGTGTGAAAGTGCTGGGACCTCTCAAATCACCACCTTGCCTCTGCCAACCCTGTTTGGAAATAACCACATGAAAATGGATGTGGCCTGCAAGGTATGTATGATGGTTCAGACCTCAGGCAGATTGTTTTTCTCTCAAAACACTTTTCACATTTATAGTTATCTAGTTAGGATTTCAAGTGTTTGTTTGATCACACCTTCTCACTTAAATGTGAGCTACAGAAGGCCACTGCCAGGTCCATTTTGATCACTCATTTTGTATCTCTAGTGCTTAGTGGGGTCTCAACAAATATTTGTTGAATAACTGAATAAATGAGAATCCTCAGTGACATTCCTGATGGAAGGGTTAGTCTAATGATGATTGCTTTTATATATATATATATATAT